CCAGATAATGTGATGTTACAACCTTAAAACTTCTGCATTCAGTTCAAAAACATTTGTACTTCAAAACTAGTGAGTAGGCTATAACAGTGACATTTAGTACAGAACTCTGCAAGAAGCAACATTTTAATAGTACTGTTGGCCCTCATTTTCAACTCACAATTGGGGATCCAGAGCTCAAATCCAAGGTGGGCCAGAAATGGTTTGTCACATTTCCTTTTACCTAATGCCTCTGTTCACTTAGCAGTAAGTAGGTACCCTAGAGTTTGGCAATTGTTGTGGGGTTGCATCCTGGGGAAGGTCAATAGTTTAACCTTGGAGGAACCTCGATACAAGTTCAAAGTGTATGCATACACACGCTTTCTGTCCTTAGCTATGGAAATTATTAGTTATGAAGCAAGATAAAGGAAGCTGGCAGTGAACAATCACCAACGGGTTCCAATATACCGTCCACGTTCAACAATACCTGGCTTTACGTTGACCTCAAGTGCCAGTAAGATCTCCACTAGCTGACCGTTTATTGCATCAAGTACCATCACACCTCGAGAGGATACCCGGGGTATGGTCAATTCATACACAAGATTGTTCGACAAAGCTCATTTTCCAAGGGACAAAACTCCTATACAGTATATATATCGTTAGAGTTGGGTTGGGTTAGGGAGGCACAGGGTCGGATGGTTTGAGTGAGGTTGCTTTATGTGATGATTTTAAAATCTAGACAGTCTTGAGTACAATGTGACTCGTACCCGTGACTGAACAAGCCAAAATTAATTAAATATATGATAGAAAGATTTTTGACAATGTACAGTGACCACACATTTCCGTGTACCTGATATATATTTATTTATTTATATATATACAAGAAGGTACATTGGGATTATGAGGATACATAGCATAGTAATTACATTCTTGTAAAGCCAATAGTACGTGCAGCATTTCGGGCAGGTCCTTAATCTAAGAAAATTTTAAGTAGGTAAATACTTGCAAAATTTATAAAAATGATAAGTTACATAGCAAGAAAAAAAAAAATAAAAGATTGAGAAAATTGTTGACCAGACCACACACTAGAAGTTGAAGGGCCGACGACGTTTCGGTCCGTCCTGGACCATTCTCAATCGACTTGAGAATGGTCCAGGACGGACCGAAATGTCGTCGTCCCTTCACCCTCTAGTGTGTGGTCTGGTCAACATACTTCAGCCACGTTACTGTGACTCATCGCCTGCACAGAGAGAAAATTGTAGGTATTTTAAAGCACATAGGTAGCTCAGATTGATTGCAATGACAGCTTGAATAGTAGTTTAACAAACATTAGTAGGCACAATACAGCATATGGCTAGCACATAAAAGAAGACAGCAATGAACACAATGGTAAAGTTGTTAGGATTAAGTACATAAAGATTGGGAGATTGGGTAACACTAGATACAGAGCAAATTTAAAGCTCAAGTGTAGGAAACTACGAAGATGAAATTACGTACAATGATTCATCTTTCACCACCATTCCTTCCCATCCCAAATCCTTATCCTGACCCCTTCCCAGTGCTATATACTCGTAGAGGCTTGACGTTCTCCCCTTCCATCACTATAACCCAAAGTTATACAACCCAAATATAACCCAAAGTTATACAACCCAAATATAACCCAAAGTTATACAACCCAAATATAACCCAAAGTGCCGTCTAAGCCAACCACAACAAGTAGCTCCACCTGCCCACAGACCACTATACCGCCTTCTACCATCACATACAAGCTTTTAATATGCGTATTGCAGTAAGATAAGACACATATAAGCACCTACTTAAGGCCCGCTGCCCTCCAGAAAGTCATTGTTGTGGTGGAAGGCGAGAGTCACAGTCCTCTGCTCACCGGCTCAAGATGGCGTCGCCGGACTCGGGAGTCAAATCACTCTCCACAAAATATATCAAAATATATCAAAATATGATCAATATATCATATTGATCATTATAACAACTGTTTTGTAAAAAAAAATTATCCTTAACTGTATATACGGTACTAAATCAATAATATTGTTATAAATATTGATAATTAACAAAATTGATGCGCGAGTTTTCCAAATAAAAAATCAAATCAAATGTTTATTTAGGTAAGGTACATACATACAAGAGATTTTACAAAGAGTGATGGATTTATAGATAGGGCTAGTACATACAATGCCTAAAGCCACTATTACGCAAATCTTTTCGGGCATGAAAAACTTAAATGACTAATGAATTCCGTTTCCATTTGGTCAATTATATTTAGCAAACATTAGAAGGCACAATACAGCATATCGCTAGCACATAAAAGAATGATTTAGAATCATATAATGATTTAGAATTATTATTATTATTATTTTTATTAACAAGCTTAGGTATACACAGTCATGTGCTGCTACACTATTTTACTTGAAAGATTACACAGTGTACATCAAAAACTTTCATCTAATATTCCTATCTCACAGATCAGTGAAATTATCATGATTATCTATAACTCCGATAACCTCACTGTGGAGCACTATATTTATTCTGATTATTTTCTTTAAGAAACATAATTGTAGGGGTATTTCTAATATAGTTAATTTGTTATGCAGCCCATATATATATATATATGGGCTGCATAACAAATATATATATATATATATATATATATATATATATATATATATATATATATATATATATATATATATATATATATATATATATATATATATATATATGTCGTACCTAGTAGCCAGAACGCACTTTTCAGCCTACTATGCAAGGCCCGATTTGCCTAATAAGCCAAGTTTTCCTGAATTAATATATTTTCTATAATTTTTTTCTTATGAAATGATAAAGCTACCCATTTCATTATGTATGAGGTCAATTTTTATTTATTGGAGTTAAAATTAACATAGATATATGACCGAACCTAACCAACCCTACCTAACCTAACCTAACCTATCTTTATAGGTTAGGTTAGGTTAGGCAGCCGAAAAAGTTAGGTTAGGTTAGGTTAGGTAGGTTAGGTAGCCGAAAAACAATTAATTCATGAAAACTTGGCTTATTAGGCAAATCGGGCCTTGCATAATAGGCTGAGAAGTGCGTTCTGGCTACTAGGTACGACATATATATATATATATATATATATGTCGTACCTAGTAGCCAGAACGCACTTCTCAGCCTAGTAAGCAAGGCCAGATTTGCCTAATAAGCCAAGTTTTTCTAAATTAATATATTTTCTCAAATTTTTTTCTTATGAAATGATAAAGCGACCCATTTCATTATGTTTGAGGTCAATTTTTTTTAATTGGAGTTAAAATTAACGTATATATATGACCGAACCTAACCAACCCTACCTAACCTAACCTAACCTATTTTTATAGGTTAGGTTTGGTTAGGTAGCCCAAAAAGTTAGGTTAGGTTAGGTTAGGTAGTGGAAAAACAATTAATTCATGAAAACTTGGCTTATTAGGCAAATCGGGCCTTGCATAGTAGGCTGAGAAGTGCGTTCTGGCTACTAGGTACGACATATATATATATATATATATATATATATATATATATATATATATATATATATATATATATATATATATATATATATATATATATATATATATATGAGGGACCTTAATACAGGTCACAACTGAAAGCTGGCTCCGTTAGCCAGAACGCACTTCTCAGCCTACTATTCAAGGCCCGATTTGCCTAATAAGCCAAGTTTTCATGAATTATTTGTTTTTCGACTACCTAACCTACCTAACCTAACCTAACATTTTCGGCTACCTAACCTAACCAAACCTATAAAGATAGGTTAGGTTAGGTTAGGTAGGGTTGGTTAGGTTCGGCCATATATCTACGTTAATTTTAACTGCAATAAAAAAAAATTGACCTCATACATAATGAAATGGGTAGCTTTATCATTTCATAAGAAAAAAATTACAGAAAATATATTTATTCAGGAAAACTTGGCTTATTAGGCAAATCGTGCCTTGCATAGTAGGCTAAGAAGTGCGTTCTGGCTACTAGGTACGACATATATATATATGTTGCATATTGTCCTGGGGACCATTCAGGCTTGTTCGCATATATATATATATATATATATATATATATATATATATATATATATATATATATATATATATATATGTCGTACCTAGTAGCCAGAACTCACTTTTCAGCCTACAATGCAAGGCCCGATTTGCCTAATAAGCCAAGTTTTCATGAATTAATATATTTTCTTTAATTTTTTTCTTATGAAATGATAAAGCAACCCATTTCATTATGTAAGAGGTCAAATTTTTTTTATTGGAGTTAAAATTAACGTAGATATATGACCGAACCTAACCAACCCTACCTAACCTAACCTAACCTATCTCTATAGGTTAGGTTAGGTTAGGTAGCCAAAAAAGTTAGGTTAGGTTAGGTTAGGTAGGTTAGGTAGTCGAAAAGCAATTAATTCATGAAAACTTGGCTTATTAGGCAAATTGGGCCTTGCATAGTAGGCTCAGAAGTGAGTTCTGGCTACTAGGTACGACATATATATATATATATATATATATATATATATATATATATATATATATATATATATATATATATATATATATATATATATATATATATATATATATATATATATATATATATATATATATATATATATATATATATATATATATATATATATATGAGGGACCTTAATACAGGTCACAACTGAAAGCTGGCTCCGTTAGGTTCGAATTCCGCGCCAGGACAGACGTACTGGAACATTTCTTTCACCTGAAGCCTCTGTTCACCTAGCAGTAAATAGATGGCCGTTAGGCTTGTGTCCTGTCACGTCCCAGTTGGATATTTTGTACTGTAAGTCAAACAGTCATTCAATAAATATTTATTTCCAAAAATACATACAATGGATAATGTTAACATAAACTAATAGAGACAAATGTTAATTACGCAAAGTATATATATATATATATATATATATATATATATATATATATATATATATATATATATATATATTGTTCAACATAAATATTAGTATACAAACCATTTATATAGGTTAGTGTAAATGATAGGCTACACATATGAGCCTTAATATATATGTGTTATATTACGTGTTAATATAAGTTACAAAGCAATAATATTAACATTAAGTGTGGTAGACCCTTAACATTAACTAAAATAACAGTCATTCGAGACTAAAGCAATAAACTACTAATAATAATCCTGACAATACGAGGAAAAAAAAAGAAAACGGTAAAAGTATAAGACTGAAATGATTATTATTGTCATTATTCTAGACTAGGCATCGAGTGGTATAAGACAGGTGACACTTGTCTCATATAATTTGTATTCTTTTTCACGTCTTGCTCCTCTTCCTGAGGAAACTCTCTCACTAATGTATCTAATTCTGCCCCTAACTTAGATGTCTCTTCTGAGAATTCATCAGAACTCCTTGATTCGTCAGTATTGTATCCACACTCCTCCATCAAAATCCTCCAGACTTTTCGCTTTAATGTTCTGAGCCATTTAAAGTACTTTTCATTGTGCATCTCAGATGTAATTTCCACGACTTCTTTCGTTCTTTTCCTTCCTCGTTTGCCAGGCTTGAAGGTAGTGTAGCCAGAGCCTTCCTTAAAGGCTAAACCACAGTAACAATATTTCTGCTTGTTTGTGGTACCCAGACGTTGTGTTCGGATCTGAATTCCTTTCATGTGCTTCCCAATGTTCGTGGTTGATGCCGTGGGTTCTAGCTTATTACCTTTGCAATAAAACACGTACGATGTGAATAAATCACTTTTCAAAATCATGTCATCCTTGTTGGAGGAGAACTCGAGGTTATTCTCACAGTAGATGATGAACGTTTCTTTACCGTAGTAAGGGGTGGGCCATTTTTTAAGCAATTCCAAGGACATTTTTTTCCTATTATGTCCAGAGGGTCCGGGTATATAATATAGTCAGTCAACCGGGGACTCTCCTATATAATGGGTGTACATTAAGAAGCCCGACAGTCAAATTCTGAAATATCATATAATGCATATTAATAGTAGGCTAACAATTCATATATCATATACCTTCCGATCATTGTAAGTACATTATACAATTTATATAGCATATAGGTTCTGATAAATATATTTATAGTTAGGATTGTGTTGCGAATATAGCAGTTTATGTTAAAAATGGTATAGATAGAGATCGAATATATAAATGATAGTGAAAATGGAGATTATACCCTTGCAGGGCAGTTCAGATAAGCGTGATAATGATGAACATCGATTGTGTGATGACTGATGATGCATGCGGAGGATGGACGTGAAGATGGTGTAAAGTCAATAGTGAAGATGGTGCATAGTGTGACCATATGGTACATCATTATTATAGTACATTATTATTATTATTATTATTATTATTATTATTATTATTATATGGTAAAGCTCCAAGAACGAGGTCTTGTAAAGATCTTTGACAAGCCGTGGGCTTCCTGACCCCCCGTCAAGGCCACTAGGGAGGTAGTGGCCCTCAGGTGAATGGTGTGGTGTCTGTACGATATGTAAAGTGGTATATATGTTGAAGATGATGCAGGGTGAGCTATAGTTGCATATATGGTGTGACCGCATGTATATGATGCATGGTGAGGATGGTGTGACCATAGTACATGGTAAAGATGGTGCATAGTGTGACCATTGAACATGGTGATGAGGGTGCATGGTGAAGATAGTGTGACCATGTGAATAGGAAGTCTGTACTAAGGGTTATATTAGTGTCTCTCCCTGCCCCCCCCCCCACCCACACCACTAGGTCAAAGTATGCACCAAACCTCTCCAGGATGTATTTAGTAACAGCCTGGTGGACCAAACTCTCACAAGTCAAGCCCCTCGGGCCGGGCTTGGGGAGTAGAAGAACTCCCAGAACCCAATCAACCAGGTATCAACCAGGATGCAACCCTACAACAATCTCTGACAGCAACAATCAATCAATCAATCACTTGTCTAACTCCCGGATACCTATTTACTTCTATGTGAAGAGGCATCAGGTGAAAGGAAACATTCCCAAACGTTCCTAAACCAAAGAAAATCGAACCAGAGACGTTCTCGGATGAACTCAACTAATTGTTGAGTACAATTAGAAGAGATCAAGGCGAATGGGTGGGGGGTGGGGGACATTCGACAAGCCGCCGACTTCCTGTCCTCGTCGAGGGCACGTGGCCCTCAGGTAAAATCAGGTAAATTGTGCTTACAGGGGTGTAGCTTTAGCTCTGTGGCCCCGCCTCTCAAGTGTCAATCAACCCACTTGGTTACCGTGCATGACAGCCCATATATATGGGTTTGAGAATTGTGGTGACCATGTATCGTAGGGTAGTTGTATATAACGATGAGGGTGATAGAGGATGGTGGTGGTGAGGATTTAGAGTTTAATTGAGGCGAGAGAGAGAGAAAATATGGCACCTACCGTGTTGTGACGTCACTGCTGGCTGCCCAGCTCCTGGAGTCGTCGTCGCCAGCTGTCGGCCACAGCTTATTTATCTATTTATTTATTTATGCACAAGAAGGTACATTGGGGGTTAACGGAGAACATCGAAATTAAGTTGATTGTACATTGTTGTAAAGCCACTCGCACGCATAGCGTTTCGGGCAAGCTGGCACCCCGTCACCCATGTGTCAATAATAACAACAGCTGTAGTATTCCTGGGTCAGCCTTGATGACAACAACAACCTTGATGACTCCTGGGTCAACCTTGAGGACTCCTGGGTCAGCCTTGAGGACTCCTGGGTCAGCCTTGACGACGAGGGGACACCTGCTCTGCCTGGGGAACGCCGCCGGCTAACGGAACGACATTAATTCCAATTCCTCGGGCATTCTTCTTCAACGGGTCGCCTTATGACGCCTGGCGCCCCTATCGTCCGGGGTCACAGGGAAGTTGATAGATTTTTTCCCTGTTTCCTGGTTGGTTCTTAGGGCGGGGAGTTAGTGTCTCGGGCCAGACATTTGGCCGAGAGGTGCCTGGCCTTGGTGTCTGGGTGCCCAGGGGGCGTAGTGGGCGGCTGGACAATGTTTATGTGTATTTGCCCATATACAAGTTTAGGAGCGGCCCATCACGTTTCTGCCTCGGCCGTAACTACCTAGTGTTTTCTGTGTGTGACATGGGCCGGTGTGTGTTTTACTTTTTACCTTATCTTGAGATGATTTCGGGGCTTATTGTCCCCGCAGCCCGGTCCATGACCAGGCCTCCACCCCCAGGAAGCAGCCCGTGACAGCTGACTAACTCCCAGGTACCTATTTACTGTTAGGTAACAGGGGCATCAGAGTGAAAGAAACTGCCCATTGTTTATCACCGGCGCCTGGGATCGAACCCGGGACCACAGCATCACGCGTGCAGTGTTCTGTCTGCTCAGCCACCGGCACCTTGCACGAGAATGCTGCTGCACACCCGGCACTTGTGCCATAGTGGCCTCTAAATCAACAATAATGATACAAATGTTGACGTCCAGCTTGGATAGATCATCAAGACAAATTGGGGGGAGACCTTTGACAAGTCACTGGCTTCCTGTCCTTGTCAAGGCCACTAGTGTTAGTGGCTCTCGGGTAAAATTCAGGTAAATGCCGGGAAGACGGGACACCACGAGCATAGCTCTCCTTCTGTAAGGACACTTAGATAATTACACTCACTGTATACATGTATGTATAACATACATCCTGGCCGGGGAGGATTTACTGGGCGCAATTCCTTAACTGTAGCCTCTGTTTAACGCAACAGTAAAATGTGTACTTGGATGAAAAAACGATTCTTCGCGGCAGGGGATCGTATTCCAGGGACCATAGGATTAAGGACTTGCCCGAAACGCTACGCGTACTAGTGGCTGTACAAGAATGTAACAACTCTTGTATATATCTCAAAAAAAAAAAAAAAAAAAAAAAAAAAATTATTATTATTTAATGCATCTCTGTCCAGATCTCTGCATTTTAGTGATATTCCATTTTTTCAATTTATCTGGACTTCTATCATCTATACCAGAGATTTTCTGCCCGAAACGCTTTGCGTAATAGTGGCTTTAGGCATTGTATGTACTAGCTCTATCTATAAAGCCAACAAACTTTGTAAAATCTCTTTATGTATGTACCTTTGCCTAAATAAAAATTATTATTATTATTATTATTATAGAACCATTATTATTATTTGCAACTGGTATGAGGTCATCTGCAGATTCAGAGTTGGATTCACTAGACAATGATTTTTTTTTTTTTTTTGCTGCACTTGTTTCTTGTATTCATCTGTAATAATAACAGCATGCATAGAAATATGATGTCTCTTTTGAGGCTGATCATGGGCAGATCTAGGATAACCCCATGATTTAAGAACTGCTTGAAATGTAGATTCATCTTTCATTGGTTCAAGTTGCACAACATACTGCATTCCATGCAGTATGCAAATTCCTGTAACTATTTTTGTCAGTGCAGTTGGAGAAGTGACATTAGCAAGTGAGCTCCGTAAAGTTGAGGAAGGCTGATGAATGCATTCCAGATGATTCAAAAAACAAAAATTCAAATGTTTATTCAGGTAAAGTACATACATACAAGGTGTGATACAAATATTGATGAATTTATAGATAGAGCTAGTACATACAATGCCTAAAGCCACTATTACGCAAAGCGTTTTGGGCATGATGGGTTATAGGCATGGGTGATGATGTTGAAGGCTGATCATGCATAACTAGCATGAATGACATGATCTTCTATGTTCCTTATATCTTCATTAGGTAACTGTACAAGAGTAGGCTGACCATTTTCATTCAGTGGTTTGCCAGCAGCTGTCTAGCGCCTGTGTGTGTGAAGTTTTACTTTGTCCAGTCGTTCAATTTTACATTTTGATTAATCAATGGGATATTGCACGAAACCCTGACTATATTGTTTTTAGTTAGTCCAGATCTCCATTTCAGTGAAAGCTAATGAACAAAATCAGCCTTGCAGAGTGGTTCACGTGCTCTTGTTTTAGATACTTTTGTTGTGAATTTCTTCTTGTGACAACTCCTTAATGGTGCAAAACATGCCATGTTAAGTGGATGAAAAACATCTGTTGTATGTGGTGGTAGTTTGAAAAGGGTGATTTTTCTACATCTGTGGCAATTCAGTTGTTTGAACAAATGTATGTGTTGTACCCATCAGATATTAGAACAATCAGAACAAATGTACCAGCAGGTATAAGTAAAATTGAGCATGTTTTCACTTTTATACACAATTTCTCAAACCCGATGTGAAAAGTTGAACTAGTCATTCATCCATTATCACTTTTGTCATAATATTGTACATACATGAGTGTGTTACTACCACATCAGGTACTCATCATGTTTTTGCCTTTAAACACTTGAACTAGGTGATGAGAAATTATATACTGTACTGAAATTCGGTTTTCCATCTTAATTCAACTTAGTTCCTCAGATGATATCTGAAATAACACAAATCAAAGATATCAGAAGGGAATTACAAAATCAATAATAATAATGAACCCTACAACAAGAACAAATTAATATAATCTAATGAATAAGATATTTAGAAATATGACAACTCTATTAAAGCATAATGTTCTGTCCCATCTGCATGACTGCCATAAGTTGTACTTTCTCAGTTACACCCATGTAATACTGTAACCTTATTACATACTTTTTAATCTATAGGTCCACTGGTTTTCCACTTGGAGGGTCAGATGGAAATCCACTCTTGTCTAGGTTCCAGATAAACTCGGGGCTATTTCCTGTGCCTAACTTTGTTAATTGGTTCTCTCCAACAATGAATAAAAACCATAAATCACAAAAAGATCATGTGACATTTTTTCTTGCCAGTTGCATTAGACCACTTTTTCCTGAGACTGAATTTGTAATGCTCAACAAAAATCTTTGCCCAATCATAACCTGGTACCTTTTCTTTGAACAGGTGTGTAATTTCGTTGGTGTACAAATAACTTTATTTAATTTCTCTCATCTTGACCAATGTACAGTATGCCCAAATCCTAACTCTGCTACACATTTAATGCATGTTGCAAGTGTCTGCTCAGTTTGTACAGGTAATTTCAACTTTGGACCTTGTTTCTTGAGTTTAATAACTTCTACTAGCAAGAATGCATTGTCATAGCATTGATGTGGACACTTGGTATTTTTTGCAGTGAACCTGACACTAGTGCCATCTCTTCTTTGATAATGACATCCACAGCAGTCTCGGTATAGAGCTTTAGGCTTGGTTTGTAGTTTCATGGCATTTTTGTTGACTACACTTTATTTACAGTAACAAAATAAAAATAACCAAGATGTATAGACCTGTCTAGAAATATTTTATGTAGATGGGGTTAATAAAAAAAAACTTGTTTTAAGCCCAAATAGTATTTTCACAGGCGGGATAAACAAAAAAGAGCCACGAGGCTTTCCCCTAAACAAACATTTTCTTTCACATACTGTATTGCAAAAATTACATCTTCACACTTTCCAACATAAGCAATAACATTCTATAATTAAAACTTAATTAGTGAGACGTAAATAAAAAATAGCAACTTTTTTCTCAAATTTGACACTTTTCATCAGTTCGTCCTATCTCGGAAATGAACAGATGTAGGGGCAAGATTTTAATAACACTTCTGAAGGATAACGTGGGCTACTTATAGTATGTTTATAAAAAATATCAATATACTGTAATAGGAAACCAAATAGGCCTTTTAAGGCCTATTTGGTTTCACCCCAACATGCCCTTTTAAGGCCTATTTGGTTTCACCCCAACATGCCCTATGTTTTATTTTTCCACCCCAATTGAATATAAATATTTGTCATTGTTGTTTGTGGTCTGCATTGAGTTTGCTAAAGAAGTGATTCCATAGTGTTGTGAACTCTAATAGTATTTGGCTATATGTGTGTGTGTCTTGTGGAAGGCAGGTTTGATAGCACACAAGACAATTTTTCTGATTGTGGACGTCATGAGTAATGCTTTGTTTTTTATTTTAACCATTACTGTAGAGGCTGAATGAAGCAGCATTTATATATTTTGTACGTGTCTTTGTGGATGTTTAATTATTGTAGAGATATGTTATCTTAATATCATCTACTTGTTTTGGATGTGTTGCAGTTTGCCCAGCTTTAAGAGAGGTAGGGTGGTTGGAATGGTATGGAGCTGCATGACAGCTCTAGTCATTGGAATAAAGTCCAAACCATTGAGGTCTGAGTGCTATGTAGTGCTGTAAATGGGTGCTTACTCTTTTCATGAAGACTAGATCAGCTCCTCCTGATCCTGCATGGGACTAGAATATTTTAAAAGTCTGGGTGAAGGATGAGTTTTTGGTAAAGATGGTATATATATTATTGACATGGTTGTTAATGGAGTTAAGGAGGATTGTCTAGTGATGTGCATAAAAGTCTGTTGTTAAGATGATTGATATGTCAGTGTAGTTGAATGTTTTTTGTTAAGTACTGTATCTCTTGGGCTGGCACAGTAGTCGTTGCAGTAAAGTCACAGCCACTGTTGTGGGTTGCATCCTGGTGAAGATCAGATGATGGTCACGGAGGACCCCGATAAGCCTAACATGCTTCCTACCTCTGAATGAGGAATCATGAGATAAGTGGGCAGTGTTGGCTGGCAATTGTTTGAGTTATGAACTGTTTGTATTGCCAATGTTTATGAATTGCTTGTTGCCAAAGTGTGTTTATGTATTCATATTTGTAGGTGACTATTATGAGAACAAAGACTCTGGT